TTCCCGGGCCTCCGGCCTTTTGCCGTTATCCTCGCCGTTATCCTCCCTCTTTCGCTTGTTCTCGAGCTCCATTTTTTAACGGCGACGGTTAGAGAAAACTCAAGAGGTTTTGAGATAGTACCCTTTTTTTTTCTTTTTCTTTTTTTTTTTTTTGTGAATTTGTTGTAGTTAGATTTTGAGTTTTGACGAATTATGTGTGGATTTATTTATAATTAATTGGAAAATGGTACGGTCCGTTACAAAATCATTTTTTCAGAGTTTGTAACTGTTAAATTATCATGTAACCGTTGAGATTAGTTGATCTAACGATTACAAATCCGACGGAATAGTTCCGTAACTGGATGGAATAATCTCTCTAATTAATTAACTTATAGTATTATATTTTAGGTGAGGATCAGATGCGGTTGTGTCGAAATTAGGGGCAGCGTGACGTCATGAAAAATGGAAAGCGTGACGTGTGATGGGTGACTCTCAATTCGTGTGAGAAGTAAAAGGAACTGTTTGTTTTGATGGGATATTGTTACGGTTTCGTTACGAAACTATTTCGTCGGATTTATAATCGTTAGATCATCATGTAACAGTCGAGAATAGTTGATTTAACGTTTACAATACATGATCGAATGGTTCCGTAACAGTATCGTAGCATATCTCATTTTTCTAACATAATATTATGAATTAATACTGGAATTTAATAATAAAATGTACAATACGACATGTTTTTTTCTAAGTTTTATTTTCCAATTCTCTTGGAAATAATTCGAAAATGATGGAATTCTTGTTTAAAATGACGTTATTAAGGCAAATATGTACTGATGTACGTTCTTTTTATCTTTTTTTTTTTGGTACAAAGACGTTCTTTTTATTTTTATTTTTGGTACAGGGACCTTCCAATTTTCGGCTCCACAAGGAAACCGACTAATCCAGAATCGAATGTACTGATATGCTCATATTGTTGTATATTTATTTGTAGGTTGTTTACTATATCTGAATAGATGCATGATAATGATATAGCAAATGGGAAAACTTGAACGTTTAGTAGTAAACTTAATCAAAAGAATATGTATGAGAAATCAAAGTGAGAAAAAATGGTTAATGCAGCAAAGAGAACAGTTACTCCACTTCGGAGTTTGGACCACATACATATTTTCTCTTGGATTGGCAACGATTTTCTTGGTTTATTTTCATTGTGTGTGTGCAGATTTGACGCCACAATAGCAAGTGAATTATTGAAAACCACCCAAAAATAACAATAATTGTTATGCATAGCATATGCGGATATAAATTAATTCTTTTTGTTTTTAAACGATAATTATATTAAAACTGAAAAGTCGAACGAGTGTATCTGTTGTGTCAACTGACACCACAGGCACCCGAACAAAGTCTGGACCACCTTCTTTAGAATTACACAAGTGACCAAGGAGTAAAAATTCCATCGTAGAGACACA